TTTGGTAGCTTTCTTGGTGTTTGTCTCTTTTTGGTGCTTCCCTTAGGACCGAGTGCGGCAGCCGCCGACGAGGCCTATCCACGCAAAAAAAAAGTGGCAGAGTACTTGCCTTCCTTGCGCAATTGAATCGAGCTTTGTTTTTGCGTCGGGGCGCGCTACACGCACGCGCTAAAAAGGTTTTTTTAAGTATTAATAAGTTACCACCGGAGGGGTCGCGCCCGGGTTCCCGGGGCATCAGCTTTTTTTTGGTTGCCATCACCCGGGCTTTTGGTACTATCACTCGGTTTTTCGGGTTTTTGGTGCCATCCTCGGATGTTGGTATCACTCGCTCGGTTTCCGGTGCCATCATCTGGTTTCTTAGTGCCATCGATCGGGTTTTAAGTGCCATTGCCATCACCGGGTTTTTGGTGCCATCACTCGGGTTTTGGGTGCCCAATCGGTTTTTCGGTGCCATCACCTTGTCTTTGGCACCTTGGTTTTTTGGTGCCATTGCTCGAGTTTTGGTGCATCACTTGGTTTTCGACGCCATCCGGTTTTTGGTGCCAGTGCCCGGGTTTTTGGTGCCATCACTCCGCACTACGAGAAAATTGGTGTTCCAGGCTGCATCAGTTTTTCCTGGGCTGGCTTCGCCTTTGGGCTGGAAGGTTGGAGTGTGTGCTTTTGTACCTGGGCAGGCACATGCTTGACCTGCCACCCTTACAGCCGAAAATTTTCCTGGATCTTAGATTATTTGAGACAGATGCTTCGCTGTGCAAACGGACTTCAACCCCCCCGCGTCTTAAGAAGAGTGCAAGCTCTTGTATATTTCCTTTCTGTATTTTGACGTTGTTTTCAAAAACAGATTTGCAAACAACATCTTGACGGGTTTCGTTGGACTGAGCGATATTGGGTCTGTTGCAGGTTCCTGTGTCTAAACTCACTTAGAGGGTTTTGCGCCGACGAAATCTTGTCTTGTTTTTCTAGGCATTTCCCAAATTTTTCACGACGCAACGAGTCAATGACCATTGTACTGAAGGCCGTAACAATGGCACGTCTCGCATGTGAGGTTCAACTACGAAACATGATAGCTTCTAGCCGATTCTAATCGATTCTAACCCCACATGTTCAGTTCACGCAAATTCCAATGACTTCGCCTGTTACACCGTATTTTGGGAGCCTAGTGAATCATTGGTGTAGACAGTACAATGTTTTGAGTAATATTGAGTGTAAGTGATAGACATGTGCAGGATGGTTGAACTGCCACGGGTGATTCTGGAAAAGTGGAAGCATCGACTCCCCGTCTCAGGACGTTGCTGGTGGCCGATTTGGCGCTTGGGGAATGGATTGGCGATGCATCCTTCACCACTTTCTTGGCCGCTGGCGATTCCAAAGCTGCGTTTGTAACTACGCAGCAAGGTTTTCACCCCAGCTTTGTCCCGAGGTGAGTCGGTTGGGTCTCAAGTTGCCGAAAAATCTGAATATTTTCTTTCTGGTTTGGGCTTCGATTGAAAGTTGACGCGAACGACTGTTGCCCTTTGCTGGTACTCATATGTAACGTCGCGTTATACAATCGCGAAAGTTCGAGGATGTCAAACGGTGTTTGAAGCGAATGTCGCATCTCCTATATCAAATTGTTGTATGTGTTTGTCTAGCCAAGGGGTTCGGCGAGGTTGACACGAATGTAATGCAGATTCTGTGTTCAAGAAATTGTGTTGACTTGACTTGGCTGCGAGCGGGTGCGAAGCAGCCCTGTGGCTCAAACTTCAGTGACGAACCTTATCCGCTTGTACTACTGATGGGCAGCGCTGCCCGGATTCAATTATGGTTGGCATTGGCCGCGACAACGCCTGAATGCATCCCGGCGCTGGAGGCGGATTTGGCTTGGACTGCTTACGAATTTGCACACATCTTCATGACCGCATCACTTCGCGTGCAGCATGTCGACATGTTGCCAATTCTCTCAGAAAGTCATCAGACCTTAAAAGCCTTCCTACCTTTGGCCAAACAGGCATTAGCCCAACGAGGTTTTGAGTAGAAGTCCGACGGTTGGCGTTGAATTTGGTTGTAGGAATGTCAATGTTCGGGCATGTGGGCATGTGTTCAAGGTCGCCGTGCAACGCTTGTGTTTTTTTTTTTGTTTTCTTGGTCCTTGCAAGGTTTGGCTCTCTCGAGGCTTGGAATTTGGGAGGTGTTCTGTTTGGGCCCCTTCCGGCGTCTGAACTTACACGTCCTCAGTAAGGCTGAGGGCGCTGCATTGCACAGTGCGGTCCCAGTCCGACTTTGGCATATCATGCTGATTGCGAGAACGCGATCTTGAATCCGGGCTTGTCATCCCGGAGCCACTGCTCCAGACTTTCGATTTTTTCTTCAGGCTCTTAGTGTTGTCTTGCACGGAGTCTGAACAAACCGAGCGAACTAGGATAGAAGCCGTAGAATCTGGCTGCCGTGGACCCAGTTGCCTGGCAAGGAGACATGCCCAACCCACGCGCGCAGTTTGCTTCAAAGCAAGCGGCAGAAGTTC